TAGTCTGGTCGATGTTTACCAACGTTTCAGAGGTCATACTGCCTCCGTCATCAGGGCGATGAGTATGAAGATTTCTGTCTTCTGGGTTGTTGCGCTGTGAAGTCTGGTCGATGTTTACAAACGTTTCAGAGGACATACTGCCTCCGTCATCAGAGCGATGAATATTTCTTTTCTTCTTTCCTGTTCAAAATGTTTCTTTTGCAGCTTAGAATTTATTGTGGTACAATAAACGTATTTTAGACGCAATGCATTGCTACAAGCATCACGAGGCATTGCACTGTGCCCCAGTCACCATCATATCCTTTAATTCATGTGTGAAGGCGGCGAAACCAAGCTGTCTTGAATTATATCACCATAAACTAGCCCACGTACGCTAAGATGAATTACGCTAGCACACTGATTCAACATCAGACCTCAGAAACAATCTTTCTTTGTTCTCCCTGCTAATCCTATAAATCTCTGTATGAAAACGTCCTTCAGCCCAATGTTTGTCATACACCTACGTGGGAAGAGTATTTGCCTGAAGAGGTTACACCTGATCGCAGGTGTGTTAAAAACGTACGTAATTCGTAAACTTTATAGTAAGCCACTCCGAATAATCTTGAAGAGATAGAAAAACGTCTAAAATTTTAATTCCTTCATAATAGCTGTATCCTCATTAATAACGTAATATTTAAATTTCAAGTTAAATTAATCCAAGTCATTCCAAGCAAAACTGTCTTACGTTCACACCACATCAAAATTACGTAATGATTTAAGCTACAATAGAAAATTTGATTTCCGCTTCTCACATTTCCACTGCATCACAATTCACTCCGAGATGTTACAGTTCTTCATAGTACACCACATAGAAAACAAACGCAGGAAACTTAACGCTACTATTCAAGCTTAAAGATCAAGCAATTGCTCTTATTCGTTGACACAGAAGCCATTTATCAATCCGGAGAACAAGTATTCATGTCTTGTATCAGTCACGTTTGGCAGTTCAAGTAATTCCCAACGTAGACATTACTACAGCGGATAGCATTCTTGGTACTCGTGAGGTGAAGTAATTCTTATACAAATACCAATTATACACTTCGATTCACACAAGCAATTTACATTGTCACAGCAGCCGAGGTATTCCGTGCTGTTCCTGCTTGTCTCATTGGACATATGGCACCATCACCATGGTTCTCGTCTACACAACTCATGCACACGCACAACCACCACCACGAAAGGTTATAAACACCCTAGAGTGCTAATTAATATAACGGCACATTATATACTACAGTGTACTTGAAAGGGGAAAGGAGGGAGAAAAGAATAAAAAAGTTAAAGGAGGAAAGGAAATACATATATATACTAAATCCTACATAGACCTAAGTATAAAAGCAAACTTAAAAGTAGTCGAGAATCGTTAATCAGTTTTATGTTGGTCTTATAACGTCAAGTGTATATAGACACACACTAACTGCAGTCATTCAGACAAGGGATGAAAAACTTTGGCGGGAGATAAAAAATGCCGACCACTGCCCTTTTTCTAACTAGTAGGTTTACAGCCTTACGTAACAACTGCACTCAAATAATCTTCATTTTGTAGATTCTATATACGTTAAGATTTTAGCTGTCAACAGATTTCAGAGTTCTTGACCGTAAATCAAAATGAAGAAGTCTAGGCCTATTTCCAGCAAAAAAATGCTGCTGACCTAGATGTCATTTCACAGATGCTGAGTAGCTGTGCCTTCTTCGTTTGAATTATCAGCGACTTGCAGGAACGAGGCATAATAGAATACCAATTGGCGGTTTGCTCGTTTCTGTGCAACGATTCGGTAAATATCAACTGTGGCATGAATATTCGGCAGGTAAGCCTTTCGTTTAACCCCACTATGTCAACATACACACGTAATAGACGTTAGATTACTACTTCGGCAGGTAAGCCTTTCGTTTAACCCAACTATGTCAACATACACACATAATAGACGTTAGATTACTATACTCGACCGAATTTTTCCCCCGTTTAAGTTACTTGTTAAAAATAAAGTGTTATAGGTTTTCAGAACTTATACCTAAAAGTTGTAATGTTCACATATGACCCGAAACCTATTTCACAAATTCTAAAATTGTATCTGTATTTTGATACATGTATAATGGGTCTTAGAGAAGCAAAGTGAGACAATTTTAACTGGTTAGGTGATGGGCTTCTGTAGAACGTGTCGAAACATCGAGCTGTATGCCACGCTGCTATACACTCTGACATGACAATGTGAACTGTTTAATGATGTTGCTAATATGGACAACAGTTCTCCAACGACTGTTGTGGTGATTGACATAATACACAATGATATTTGTCTCATGCTTTAGTAGTCTAAATAAATACAAAGAAAATATAAGTGTCTGTTTGGAAAAACCCTCTGCAGGTCTATGACTTAGTGAGACATCAGGTAATTATGGCGGCGATTATAATGATAGTCGTCTTCGCGCATATGATTTATATTATATCTTTTTTACTTAATATTTTACCTAAGCACTGAACATTACATTTACTGTAAGGAAACCGAGAAGTTTCAAATACGGTATAAGCTTACAATTTGTGAGGACAAAGACACCCTAAAGTCTCAGTGATAAAATAATACAAGTTAGCTGCCTGCCTATTCACTCTGTTAGAGGTGTCATTCTGAAGTTTTTTCTGTGGAAGTAATCCAGTAAACCTTAAAAACCACGATTTTTATACAGTCCTGTTTCTTATATGGCACAGACTTAGTTCCACACTTTCCGTATCACTGAACTTTGTACTTTAGCACTTGCATTTTATGTTTGTCGTTCTGGAGTACATAGTTTGAGCACTGGCCTAAAGACGTACTTTTCAATGACTTTCCTTTATGTTTCCTACAAATATGAACCATTTGTATGTCAGTAAATGCTGTTAAGTTGAGACCAGAGCTTCTTCAGTAATCGTCTATGTTTTTGAGCGACGTGTAATGATGTATGGGGGAGCATAAACTAAGCTTCAGGCATTATTTACTTCAGTACTATATAGAAATGAGAGATCAGCTTCGTCTTTCACTTCCAATATTGTCTGGTAGATGAAATTAAAATATTTAGATTTTTCATAGTTACCTGTCTTGTTATCTTCAAGTAAGAAATAAGATGTGTGATTTGATCTTTTCACAGCGGTGAGTATGAAGATTTCTGTCTTTTGGGTTGTTGCGCTCTGTAGTCTGGTCGATGTTAACCAAACTACATGGCGCAACAATCCAGAAGACAGAAATCTTCAGAAAATAAGATCTTTATTTCACGCATATCCAAATTCTCGTGTTTATAAGCGTGTAACATTTATAATTATATTTAAATTCATATAGCGTCGTTAATTAAGGTACGACATGCAACTCGATCAGAGAGATTAGCACAACTGAGATTTTAATAGTTCCACCAGGCGAACAATGTCAAGGACACTCCTTATCCTGTTAAAAATCATTACCGTCCTCACCTTATCACTGTCCCCACACAATTTACCTGCTACGCATGGTTAGGCTTCTGGAAAATTAAATCATAAAACGAATCAGTTCGTTGAATTTATGAGTTATATAGACGTATATGCGTAGCCGGAACTAAGTGAGAGTAATCGGTGTAGTTGTCTGATCCGGGCGCAATATCGGGGTGCGTTAAAAAGAGTCGATAACTGATTATGACTGGCACACCTTTAAAAACTGGGAAATGAACCTTCACTGATGGAAATCAGAAAAAAGGTCAGAGCCGGCAGCTTCTACAGCAATAAAACCATTAACACAGCTGAGCGATCAAGGACTAGCACCCTTATACCTAACGGGCTAAGGTTAGAAATCTTGGCTTCGATGCACATGCTGCAATCTCTGCAAAACTCTTGTAAGTAGAATGCAAGATGCGGATTGAGGTGTAATTTGATTTAACGAAGCTGTTTACCATATAGACGAATATAATATGAATAAGATCGTACTTGGTGAAAATGTCCGAATTTGGAATTTCGAATTTGGCATTTGTGGCCTACTTGAAGTCACTACCTTGGCATTCGCCTGAATGAATTCATGAAATCCACAAAATCTTCTTCAGACTACCGATAATCTGGGGTCCTGAAGCCAAAATCCAGTTTTCCTATGTTTGCAGTAGGCCAATATAAAACACATAAAATACATTGTCCTATGTTTTATAGGACATATCAAAAATC